GAAAAGTTATAATAATGTTTTTTTTGTTTTAAATAAATAAAACTTACTCAATAATGTTCTTTGCAACAGCCTCACTTTACCACTGAGCCAATTTCTTGTAATGCTAAAACAATTCAGTTACTGATATAATTTTTCAACAATGATTCAAGATCAATTTGGTGAAAGATTTTAAGCAACAAATATTGAAAAGAAATTCTGCTGATTCTTGTTCTACCCAAAGTTTTAAGCATTCGTCAAATGTCAAAGCAATTTTAGATTAGTAAAATCTAACATATTGCTTAATTTTCTACTTGCTATAATCAAAGATCTCAAAACAATAAAAATATTTTATTATATATTAGGACATTGAATAAGTTCTTGCTGATTTTTCATGAAAAGTATGTTTTATTTATAAAAATTAATAACAAACATGTCACTGAAAGTATTGTCCATCACTAGCCACTACTTTTTCCCATCTTTCTGGCAGCATTTGAATTCCACGTCGGAAAAACGACATATCTTTTTAAGCTAACCACGAGTCAACCTGACTTTTGGCATCTTCATAATGAAAGTGCTGCTCAACCAGGCTATGTGCCAGCGATCGAAACAAGTGATAATCAGACGGGGGGCAATGTCTGGTGAGATAGGACTTCCCATTTAAGCATTTCCATGGTTTTCACCCATTTTGCAACATGTGGCTTAGCATTGTCATGTTGCAAAATCGCTTTGTTGTGTCTACCTGTATAGCGGCTGTTTTTTCTTCAATGCTCAGCTCAAACACATCAATTGTAGCCAATAGCATTTCTTGTTATGGTTTCAGTCAGTTTGAGCAGCTCATAAGCTACAGCCAGCTGATCCAACCAAATGCAGAGAAGCTTCGAACCATGGATATTCGACTTTGCTGCCGATTTTTATGCATGGCGGGGCTTACCCCACGATCTTCTGTGCTTAGAGTTATCATAGTGTATCCACATTCCATCACTTGTCACAATACAATACAAAATACCTTTCCTTTTCTGCTGTTGAGGCAGCTGTTCACATGTGACAAGACACCTTCGATGTCTCTCAGCTTCATCTTGTAAAATACCTAATGTCCTTGCTTTTGAATCATTCCTAATGCTTTCAAATGTTTCAAAACAGTTATGTGATGAACTCTTAAGGATTCTGCAAGTTTAGCTTGTGCCTGACATGAGTCTTTATGAAGTAATGCCCTCAATTCTTCAAACTTTTTTGTTGTGCCAGAGCATTCTTTATCTTCAAAATCATTATTTTTGAAGCATCTAAATGAATCTCTGCATGTTTTTGTTTTTTTTTTTCTGACAGAGCATGGTCACCATAAGTCTCAACAAGAATTCTGAGTACTTCAGCTGCAGTTTTCTTTTGAATAAAGTAGTGTGTGTGTGCACACACACACACAGAGGGAACAAAAACTTGGAGAGTTGAGTTACTAATTTTTTTGTTATTGTTGTTTTTCTCTAGTTGTCTGTATTACTAGTTCCCATATTGTACTTATGTCTATGCTTGGCCAGCTTAGGAGATTTTTCTTTCCTGGCATATGCACATGGAATTAGAACAATCTAACCACACAGACTAAATAAAAGGTCTGGTTTGAAATTATAACATATTGGCTGAAACATTGTGAATATGGCAATAGAGGAGGACGACAACGGTCCGAACAATGTAAATAGCGTAAACTATTATGCATTGTTTCAAAAAATTTAATATAGCTCAGAAAGAAGATTATTATTTCCATGGGGTTTGGGCTAGTAGGCAGAGCATTGAATTGAAGGCTTATATTTTATGAGTAAAAGGACAACTCACATGTTTCACTTCAGTGGTAGGTAATGAGTAATTGTGAAGTGTCAGTCCAGAAACATTTTATATTCACTCTTTTTAATATATGTACCACAAAGAAGCATTGCAAATTTCTCCAATATATGCTAGTGTGCGTTGTCCATGATGTGAAAGCTTTTCATGGTTCCTACATTACACACTTTGGAGAAAGTCTTTGAAATCATTCCTAATTAACTCTTTAGATTATCATTTACTACTTATGTTGTAATGGAATGCCCCACACTCCCTATTGCCTATATGGACTGACTATATCAGGAGATATATATATAGTAAGCACAGGATATACCTGGTGGACTTGCTTCAGGAATTACTAGTCCTTCAATAGTGTATTCTCTTTTACAATAAACCTCTCTTTCATCTACACACGTGTTGCTGTTCTTTCTCTCGAGTACCACCTTTGTCTGTTTGTAACCTCTTTAAGGATATAACAACTTATTAGGTAAAACCTCATATTTGTCCATCCACTGCTCTACAACTTAGACCAACTAATACTAGACTTTTGATTTTACTTATGAAAATCAAGTCTGTCGCATAAAGATTATATATCAGGAATTTTAATCTGTGTTAATCAAGTAAATAATGTCCTTGTTTTTTCTTTTTTTTTTAAATGTCAGTAAAGATCCCACACTGATGTTTTTTTTGTTTTTTTTTGTACCTTGATATATAATAAAATATTAATGAAATACAAAGGGGACACTGAATGGTTTCCAACCCAACTAAGGAGTCTTTCCCCCAAAAAAAAAAAAAAAAAAAAGATAAATGCATTTAACAATTTTTTTTTTTTTTAAATTCAAACTCAATAATTTAAATGTAGTAACGTTGTTACTGTGCTGAATTGGTGTGTTAGTTGCTACATTTTACCCATTAATTTGACTTTATAATTTAAAGATTTATACTTGATAAATCTTTGTTACCGAATTGCCCTTGAGGTTTATCAGGTGAAGTTCTACCACAGTTGTTTCCCTTAACTTTCTTAGCTTATCACTTATAGGAAGAACTTAACATAATTGTAATAGTTAGTCTTGTATAATATTTCTAGGACTAAGCCAACATTGGCACAAGGCTATAATATTGGCACACTTAGGAAAAAAAAAAAAAAACTTTGTTAATATTTTATAATGTGACCACACACACAATAGCTTTAATAGTTTTCTACTGTCATATTACATTGATACACAGGTTCTCGCTTGGTCAGTACCTAGATGGTTGACTGCTTAAGAATACTAGGTTCTGTAAATGTAGGTGATGTGATGGATAATGGCTCAGAATGGGTAATTGGACAGCAGAGTTCAATTTCCAGTCAAATCTATTACATTCACTTACATGCAAATATCCTTGGGAAAGGTATGACTATCACTCCCCACTATGGGTTAAATAGCAGGGCGTTCTGGATCCTATAGCCTTGGTTGGCAACCAATCTACCACAGAAAGTAACAGCAGTCTACTGTGGGAATTCCACTGCCAAGTCATTCATGAATTGAAAAGAGACATGATCACACAAACATACATCACACATGACACCAAGAAAAGACTGCTCAATATGACGACTGAATTTTGCTTTTCAGAGATTTCCGGTTTATGTTTTAATATCATTTTTATTCCTTTTATCCATATTATTTGATTTAAGACACTGAATAGAAAATAAATCTGGTTAAAACAAATGTCGGTATTTTGAAGAAACTGTGTTACTACTTGATGAAAAGAATTTGTTAGAAAAAGTTAGAAATATTATGTATAACAGAGGAATGTAGTAAGCTCATCTTGCAGATGGTTGGTAGTTTGTTTCTCACTGGGGGCTTCTAGGAAGAAGGTCCAATGTTAGAAATTGGTATAATTATATATTATTCCCAATTTGGTCTAAACAATTCAACTCCTCAGAGAACAACCCTGAAATCAGCGTTTTATAAGCAGAAATGTAAAAATTGCAGAGTTAGGGTTAAAATTTAAATAAACAGAAAATTAAAACCAGATCTGTCAAATTCAACTCTGACTTTGAGAGGGTACAAAACTTAGACCAGAAATTGGGAAAAGGAAATGAGAAGTTATGTTGATAGCTAATAAAGTAAGATTAAAATATTTTCAAGCTCAAAAATGTCTTGCAGTCTTGAATATGTGTTTTTTTTTTTTTTTGTAAGGTTTGAAAACTGGTAAGGGCAAAATTAATTTGAAGCTGAGGACTAGAGAGAAATCAAAAGTCCCTTTTTTTGTGACAATCATCTGCAATTTTTATAATTATCATTATTTTGGATTTCTGGTGGGGAATCCTTCACTAGTAGAAAAGCTGTAGGAATATGGCAGTAATAAAATGTGAACTACAAACACTGAATTAATTATTGAAAATAATTCCTTCATATAAGCCATTGCACATTTTGTTAGGCAGTCATTTTCTGTAAGGGGAAGAAACAAGCTGGATTCAAACACAATATGAAGACCCTCAAACATCATTTTGTAGAAGTTAAATTCTTTAGACTTATATTTTTTTCATCACATTAAATTTTGTTCAGCTTACAGAATGCATTTGGTTCATTTATCAAAGAACTTTTCTCCCTCTCAAGCTGTCCACCAACTCAACTGGATAGATTTCATCCAGGGACACAACATAATTTGGGTCCAACTACTGACAATCACTGTCAAACAGGCTGTTGGAACTGGGAAAGACTTAATTTCCGTTCAAGTGAAGCCAAACAAAGAAATCTACTGCACTTGTTCCTGGACATAACATAGCCAGCTGATACTGACAAATTACCAGATCCATCCGGTTTTATCTAGTATCAGCAAATCAACCAGTGGTAATTGTGACCAGAAACTGACCAGATAACATACTCTTTTTTAGTTTTGGTTTTCGTCATTAGTTGTCCCCAATAATAACAAAAAGGTCATTAATGTACCAAATAGACCAGTCTATGATGGCAGCAGGAAAATACAAAGAAATGCCATTACTTGTAGGTGTTTTCAGATTATACATAAGGGAGTTCCCCAACAAGTTCTTAGTCAATTATGGGGGGGGATGTAAAAGGTCTTAAACCTTAAAAAAAAAAAAAAAAAATGTTTACTTAAAATTATAGACAGCTATATATATAATAAATAACCTGAGAATTGTGTACTGAACTAGATTTGGGCCCATAAATTTAATGTTAATGTCTCTTTTCCTTCTTCTCTTTCTACAGGATGATGAGTTAGAATTTCTTCGTCAGTGTGGCTTATCAGAGTCTGAAATCCATTACAAGAGAGTAGCAGATGTAGAATCCGAATCCGAATGTCAGCCTATAGAAAAACGAGGGAAGTATGGTGTAAATCCTCAAGTGAAAAATGAAGTTCTCCAAGATATCCAGGGAAAGATTGAGGAGAAAAGGCGCCAATTTTCCAATGCAGACACATTCAGTGGTGCTGTTCACATCAGCCGGCATGAGATGGAACTGGAGAATTCTCTCAATTCTAATCGGTCACAATCCCAGTTCCTCAATTGCCTCATTACCACAAAGAAGAATGACAGTGAGATTCCTGAGCATCCCATGAATCAATTGCATGATATTATAAAGAATATAACAAAACCCAAGAAGAAAATTATTAAAACAAAAGACAAACATTCTACAGAACCCCAGAAAACTGATTGTCATTCTACCAATGTTGAAGAAAACACAGAAATTGTAGAAAATTCTTCAACCAATCCTATAAATCCGGTTCCAAAAGAAGAGATTATTAGATGTCGTCTTAGTGCTGAAGAAATTTGTCAGATTGAGAGGTTCAAAGATTATCAGCCTGGTAATCCGAGCCATATCTTGTATTTGAAGAATCTTTCCAAAAAAGTTACAGAATCAGACCTAGCTTCTCTTTTTATTCATTTCCAAAAGGACAGCTTACCTCCAACGTTAAAACTGTTGAAAGGAAAAATGAGAGGACAAGCCTTTATAACATTTGACACTTCAAAAACTGCAACAGATGCTCTTGATCTGATCAATGGCTACATGCTGAAAGGTCAACCAATAGTCATTCAATATGGCAGAGTATCTGCTTAGCTCTATATAAAAAAAGTTTAAGCATTTATTATATCTAAGCAGAAATTGGACAGAATATCCAGTGGTCATTAATATTTGCTTAATACTATCCATCCTCTCTACAAGAAAAAAAAGTAAAAAGCTGAATGTTGTATCAGTCAAAATATTAAAAGAAGACATCACCCACATTAACATGTAAGTCTTTGATATTCAGATCTACTGAATACAAAATAAAATGTAAATTCTCTATTACTATTTATGGCTTCAACAAAAATGATGTTAATTAGATAACATCAGTATCCCCTCCTCCAACCAAAAATAAAAAAATAAATAAAAAAATGCTAGTAAGTTTTACATAAATATAAAGAATAAACAATTTTTTTGTTTGAATTACAGGGTCATGGTTTTCTTACTATTTAACTTTCTTTTCTTTTTTTTTTAACTAGCATCCTCATCTTTGTTGTTTTTATAAGTGTGCATGTCTTAATCAGAACAAGTAAATTGGCAGGCAAAAAATCCTTGGAGGGGAAAATGAAGCCCTAACAACAAGAGTTCTCTTTAGATAAAACAAAGACAGTTACCCTAGGAAGGCAAGGGGAGTGTATATTAAATGAAACTTGATTATAAAACAAAAAAAAACACAAAGATAAGGATATTAGTCTAAAAGGATCAGAAACAAAATGAATATATTTTGACTAAATCTACACTAAGTGCTTCTTGCACAAAAGCCCCCACCCAAAAACATTTCTATAAAACAAATCCAACAATCGAGATAAAGGTGGCTTGAGTGATTTATCATTTGAATTTATTTTTAGTTGCTTTTTATTGCAATTTTTTTTTTTTTTACTCAAGCTGTCAATCTACAGCAGTAAATAAACAGTTCAGGATCACAAAGAACAAAGCTCTTGGTGATAGCAAAAGCCATAGTTGGGTATATACCTGGCCTGTCCTAAAAGATTTGAGTTCAAAACTCACTGCCAGCTTATACTTTATTTCAAACCATACTCTGCCAACTTATTACGATAGATTGACAGTAAAATTGGTAATAAAAAATAACTAAAAATTAGGATTATAATAAAAAATATTTTCTGATGAGTGAATTTTTCTGCTGAAGTTAAACTTGCTTAATTCATTCAATACTGATGACAGGAATTTCCATCATTGTAGTTTTATGGCTCAGCTGTGAGGGAGAGAAATTTCCACAAAAGTTCATCAGTTGACACAGATAGGAACCTAAAGACTTATTTAATAAGCATTTATTTATATACTAGCATAAGAGCTGCACTCTGGACTTTTAAGCTAACTCCTGCAGAGAGCTAATTGGGACCTGAGCAATGCTTTTGAAGAAATAACTGAATTATCCAATTCACTCCATGGAACTTTAAAACCCTCATTTTAACTTTGATTTAGGCTACAAGTTCAATTCCAGACAAAAGATCGATTTGGGCCGAAAATGGAGTTCTTCAAATCACAAACTCCATAGAACTTCAAAACCTCATGTCATGAAACCTCCCATTCTTTGGCAAATTTATTTCCTTAATTCAAAGTTTTGGAGATATTTTAAACAATGTAAAACAAAAAAATTTTAAAATTCATATTTTTGTGTTATTTTAAACTCAATATAAATTAAAAACTTAAAAATCACTAATTTTTTCAGTCATTTTAAAATTTTAATTTTTTAACTGTTCCCTCACCTGGACACTAATCCCAATGTTGGATGTTCAAACACCAGATGAAGGGCAGGTTTTCAATCCCAGGATCAAACTGATTCTAAGAAGGTGTGATATATCTATATAGAGCAAGTATGGCCAGAGTTAGACAGAAATTGCCATTTATTTAGAGGATGAAATGTTAGTGTTGCATTAATTTCTAACTTAACAATTAAAACTCTGTGAGATGCTTTTGTTTTATTCTGGTATTTTTATGTGTACTGTAGTTTAAAAATTTAAAAGAACTTCTAACCAATCATCAATAGTAAAAGTACATTTTTTTTTTTTTTTTAATAGAAACTTAACTCTTCATGGTCAAGATTTGTTCATAAGTAGACAAATTAATCAATGACATTCATTTTAACTTTACAAATTCATTTTTTTTTTTTTTTTTTAAATATTCAAAGTAAAATTTAATTTAAAAGAAAGAATTTTTATTTTTATTTTTTTTAAATATCTAAAATTATAGACTAATTTGCTTAGATATCATCTGTTAAAAAATATTTTAGATTGGAGTTGATGTAGAATTTTTACTATTTCTTTTCCTGAAAAATTAAATTCAAATAAATACAAATGTTTTGGAATAAATAAGATACCATTTTCAAGTTAACTAGAACATTGTAGAAATGAGCTCTAGTACAAAATGTTGCTGATCAGGAAGCAGTTGCAGGCATTTCAATCATACTTTTCCCTCCTTATTCCAAGAAGATGGAAGATATTCATAAAGATCATCAACCAATCAAAGCAATATTCAAGCGAATTCAAAACAAACAAACACTTTAAAAATAAGTTGTATTTTATTTTATACAAATATCTGAAAAAAAGATCATTTTATTTAAAATACCATTTTGTAACTATACCTACCGGCATTCTTCATACAATTCCCTTTTGCCTAATTATATGTAATTTCTTGATTAAATAGTGCGTTATGTTCAGGGATAAATTACGATAAAAAGAATTACTCAAAACTTTAAGGTTTTTTGTTTTGTTTTCCTAATACACAAGTGAAAATATTTTACTGTTGTTTAATAATTTCTATCTTAATGGTATCTGTCAATTATACAAATATGCATCAAAGTACTCTGCTTAATATCATTTGTATATCTAGTTATAAAAAAATCTTTTTTTATTATTTTTTAATTCTTAAATATTTATGTCTGTGATAAAAATGATTTAAGGCTCATAAATATCAAAACAATTTTATAATGAAATTCTAATTTGAGAGAATGCCATTTTTATAGCCATGCATAAAATGTCAATTTTATGTGATTATATATTTATTACATTTAAGGATTAATGTTATTATGTAGAAGACAATTTTATCTTCCTACAATGTTTGGAAACTGATAACATAGTTATTGATGTGATTTAAAAACAAAGATATCTCAAAGTTTAACCTTTTTCAAAAGACAGTAGAAGGAAGTAAGGTTGCAAATAGCAGAAGAAAATATTCCAATAGTCAAAGAGGTATTGACTGACAGAAGTAAGGAAGTTGAAACAATTCAGAGCAAGCCAAGGAAGGTAAAAGAGCAACAAATAAGAGAAAGCTGCTTGTTAAATACATGGTCTAGTGCCTGCAATGAAGTAGTACTTTCTAGAATTGAAACAGTTCAGCAGAGATGAAGTTTTTACATCAGAAAATGGCAACAGCTCTGTTCTATAGTAAAAGAGAGGCTTACTGCAGCTACCTCTCAACTTCAATTGTCGAGATCTTTATGCTAGGAAAAGGGCCTGCAGTTATGATGCTGGAGAGTCCAAGAACAATCTTGCTGAGGTTAAAGAAATGAAGCAAGAACTAGGCAACATAATAGTGTCATGGGAACACTGTGACATTGTAGGGATCAGCACAAAGAGATCCAAAAAGGAATTGGCCTTTTCTTCACCATGAGTCAAAAGGCATGCAGAGTTGCTGCTAGTGATTATGTCAAGGCTAAAGAAGCAGAAAGACACGAAGTTCAGCTGATCCAACAGGTGTGAAGAGAAGGTCATTGCAAGGCAATTAAGTTGGGATGAAATCTGGAAATGGATCACATCAGGGAAGTTTCCAGCTCTGAGCCGCTTATGATCTATTCTCGCCACCACTTGCCTAATAACCAATGATGACAAAAGCAGCTATGGGAAGTTGGTACACTAATGCATATCCTCTCACTAGTATTGGGATGGTACTACTGGAGGCATTAATGAAGTACTCAAAATCTTCTGTAGTGTTACCAAAAAGCAGATGGATGAAATAAACAGTGGCAAGGAGCAACAAAGTGGACACTTTATCACATTCATGCATCCAAGTAAACAAAGCTCTTAAAACATGAGCCAAGTTGAGAATGACGGGGTTTGGAATAGGCAAAGAAACCTTCCTGGCTGCCAAAATTCTTTCCAATATTAATCAACCCAAGTTCAGATTTTTGTAACTTTGTGTGCCCAGAGGAAGGTTGTTCATCTAGTTGAACTCAAAGTTGCACATGAGGACAACATCGATTCAATTTAAATCTGGAAGGGGAAGAGCAGTATGAAAAACTCATGGAGGAATGTGAAGACACAGGTTGACAGGCTAAACATTTCCCTGTTAGGACTGGCTGCAGAGGATAGATGCTTGCAGAGGTGGCTAGTATACACAGTTGGAATCAAACAGAAATGTAAATGAAACCTTCAAGGATATACAAGGCAGCAAATGAGAAGGCAAGCCATTGGATTTGGCTGAAAAGAAACAAAATGAAAGTTGGCTGGAGACAAACAAGTAGTAGTTGACAGTAAAACAATTACATGAGTGAAGGAGCCCAATGTGCAGAAAAATTTGTCGAGAGGCAGCCCCCAAAATTAAATACATTCTCTTGACTCCCAAGAACCTCCTGGTATCTGGTACACAGAGCCCTTGTAGCAACAAGCCATTCTCAAATTCCTAGTCAGGTTTGCATATCATTTCCAGTTTGGGGACTTATTAAAAGCCCAACTAAATAAACAGGCAGAGTTGTAAAATATTTGAATGACAAATAGTAATTTGGGATTTCAAAAAATCCTAGATTAGCTAAATTAATCATTTATATACAGGCACTAAATACAGCCTTTTCACAAATTTGTCTTGTCATTACCACAATTATTTAAAGTAATTTTAAATATTTGAGAAATTAAGTTTATAATTCATTCATTTTTTTTTTTTTAAATTCTGAGATTAATTTGCTACTTTTAACTAAAAATTGCAATGACTAATTTTCATCTCATTTTTGATAAAATTTCCCAATATAAACTTAAGAAGACAGAATTAACATGAGGATAATGAAAAACTTAACTAGAATTTCTTGATTAATGTTATATAAAATCATTGAAATCTACATTTGATGGAATGTAAAATAATTTTAAAACTCTTTCATAGTGAAGAATGTATTCTATCACTGCTGGACATAGGAAAACAAGAATCAATTCTAATATAAATATGACGAGGAATACCTGCATGAATATTGCTTGCTGGGAGAAGATAACTGCCAAGGGGAGATAACTCATTCAAAAGAATCACTGAAAAAAAAATAAAAAAAATAAATAAATAACCAAATTAATGAAAAAAAAAAAAATTAAAAAAAAAAAATTTATCCAGAAATGCAACAATTTTACTAGATTGTGTTATTTTAAGCTTTATTCAAGGCTGAAAATAACCTGGGATTATTTTCTCAACTAGTTGCTTTAGTTTTTTTTTTTTTTTTAAGTCAAACACAAAAAACTACCCTTTCAAGTTCTAGGGCCTTAGCTGAAAAAACAAAGTAATAATATATTATTACAAGCTTAGTAAAGGAAATATTAGTATAGTTCATTTAATTCGAAGCAAAAATGAACACTTTAATTTTCAGTTTCTCCAATGTTCATTTAATGCATCTCAAAAGAGTACCATTAATTTAAAATGTTTAGTTTTGTGTGGATCCCAAATTAGAAGTCAGGCAAATAATTATCTTGCCCCAACCGCACTATTTAATGAAATTCTAGTGATATTCAAGTCATCTAAATACTGTTGATAAAATGAAAGGGAAAGAAGGGAAGATAACAGCTATTTCAGTGAAATAGAAAAGTTGTCAATTTCAAATCTTTTCATTTGTATCCCTTTACTTCTTAAAATAACCAGCTCAAATATTTGGTAAATTTTTACTATTACACCCGTCTCTTTAGAGGTGAAATTTGTTTTTTTTTCTTATGGTTTTTGAACAAATATGACCTTCGCAACCATCACAAATTACTCATTTTCAGTAATTACTAAAATCACCTGACAGGGTTGGAGAACCGATTAGCTGAAAGGTTTGTGGTGATGAGTTATCATTGAATAATAATTTCGAAAGCATTCTATCTCAACTTTTACTTTCTATGAAACATACTGTAAAATTTATATAATAATGAAACACACACCATCTACATTACTTGTCCTAACACAATTTGTTTCTCACAATCTTCTTTTGCAAAAAGAAAAAGATTGTGCATTTACAGAGATTTAAGTAGACTTACAAAGCCAAGTTTTAGTACAGAATAAGATTGTGAAAAATTGTGTGGAACAAGTATTGTAAATTGTATGGATAATATAGGTTAATTAATCTGCAGAATTGAGAAAGATTAGTCTGCTGTATATTCTCTAAGCACCCAAATATTTAATCCAATGGAATTTCTAAGACCTTTACTTATTATATCAAAATGGAATTTGCACCTATTATTCCATGCAGGTTTAATTATTTATAGTTACTTTTGGAACTTAGTAGACATACTGTGCATAAAATGACATTTATCCATAGATAATTTAGAGAAAATTTATTTTTATTTTAGTAGTATTGTTTGCGTAAATTTAATTTGATTAATGTTAAGATACATTTATTTAATCTCAAATATTCCTTTCATTTCCACACTCTATAATACATCAGAAGTTTCTGCCAATCAGAGTTGATGGGTTAATCTATTTCTTTAAATCGGAGCTTTATTTAAAATGCTTGTTGTACACTCATTTATATCAAACTTACAAGGCATCTTAATATTACTGATTTGAACAAGATTCCACATTTATCTGAAGTCAAAGAAAATGTCAGACATCAAAGAAACAGATTTAACTCTTTGCCGTCACTTTTACTATTGCTAATAAAAAAAAAAATAAAAAAAAATTATGTTAACAATTTAAGAACAAACAAAAAAGTTTGTAAAAGAATGTTTTATATCCTAAATTTATAGTTTATATATCAATGTTTATTCATATCTCCACACAAACACAGTATGCATAATCTTTCCCAAAGTTCTTTTTAACATGTTGATTCCACCGACTTATCTTACTACTCATACATCCGTTAATGATTATATTGCCTATCGAAAAATGTTCAAATATTGTTAACTGGCAATAGATTTGGCCAAGAAAAATCTCTCAACCAGTTTTATTTATTATTCACCATTACATAATATATGGTGGTTTTCTAAGTGTAGCTTAGATGTGGCACAAAACCAAAAGTATGAACCACCCAATGAGGATCAAATTCACTAGTCCGTTGTAAATACAATGCACAGATACTACACTGATCCTAGGCAGTAGTGCCAAGTCATATGTAAATAATCCCATCATTTTCATAGGTAATAGTATTAATATACAGCTTATTTACTTGAAGTGAAATTAGGAAAATAAATTTCTGAATTATGAAGCAATTTTTCCTAAATTCCGATTAGAATAAGACACCATCAAAGGATGAAAAACACAAGCCATGAAAGAATATTTCAGACTAATGAATTGGCTATACACAGTAGTTCTTTAAATTTTTCAGTTTTGTCTCTTAAGCCAGTCACTTTAATAATTTATTAGAAAATTATCTTTATAGTTCAATTAGTTTTGTGTACTCATGAAAACTTGAAAATATACATAGAGTTGATTGTGTATGTGAAAACATTATTTAAAACAGTAACATCAAATAAATGTCATTTGATATTTATTCACACACTTTAAAAAAAAAGAAAAAAAAAAGAAAAAAGATAAACATAACCTTTATTGCCAAGCCACACATTAGCCTGGACTTGAGGATTATATAAGAAAATATTTGGTATATTAGAGGAATACAGAAAGGAAGCATTTCTATGAAAATGATAATGGGGCCAGAACAAGAAAAGACTTTGCCGAATCAGAAGGTTGGTGTTGACAGTTTATGAGAAAACAGTGTTTATCAATATGTACAAAAACATCCACAGCACAGAAAATGTCAGTTGCTTATAAAGAAAATATTTTAGGATTGCATATGTTTATAAATGCACAAAAAGGAAACTGGTTTTGAACTGAGCCAAATAGGAAACATTGAAGAAATTCCACTAATTCTACCATCCATCAAAACATTTTTGCTCCTTGTTGTAAAGAGAGTGCTCAGGAGTCAAATAAAGTAATCAAAATTATTAGAATGGACAAAATTCTGCCAATTTATTCTATCATGATAAAAACAATTCACAAAATTTGGCAAACAGCCAGAAAGAAGTTTCAACCAAGTTTGCATTGGTGTACACCTGCTTGCTACAAGTTATGTGACTCCCCCCCCTTCTAATGTGTGCAAATTACTGGTCCTTAGTCAAAATCATGGAAGACCCATGTCTGCATTTTATTCACTTTAGGGATTTGTGTCAGGTGCCTTCCAACTGTTCTATGGATTACCCCCAGTTTTGCACTCAACACTTGTGTTCGTTTCTGCAGAAACTGCCACAAATGCCCTAATTCTTCATTGTTGAGTGATGGCTTGCATTCATGACCAAACTGATCTTGGGGTTCCAAGTCAACAGAAACAAAATGTTAGAACCAATGACATTCTGAAGCCGACTCCAGCTGCAAAGCACTTGATACTGCAAGTGGCTTCAAAAGAATAATGACCAACTTGGAACTCAAAACATAATACGAAAAGACAAAAAGAACACAGATTTAAAATGATATATAGATGTATGCTTCAAAAAGAACAACGTGAAAAACACCAATCACATTAAAACTGGCCATTTATTTTGTT